AGCGCATTTTAGAAGTAGCCGACTCCATGAGAAAGGTGCATATAGAGTGTGCCTGGTTGACTGAGTTCTATAGGCTCTCATTGAAATACGGGCCCTTCAACGGGGATAAAGCTGAGGAAGTCATCATCGTCCTAAGAATAGGCAGGTATGACCGCCTAGAGGTAGAAGCGGAGTCTTGGGACGTCATAGTTAGCCGGGAGGCGGCGGCTGCACCCTCCTACGTAGACGACGTTTTTAAACTATTTGAGGTACTGTGGTTCGACTGAATGAGGCCAAAGGGTTGAACACAGCAAAAGGCCTGAGTATGGAGGGTGTTTGTGAAGAAAGGTGTAACATAAGAAAGGGAGTGTGTACATTAGGCCGTAGATGGTGCATAAGGATCAAAACAAGGGGGAAGTGACAGCAACTGGAAAATGGGGGTCGGGTAGAATGAAACGTGTATGAGTTGGGGACAGCGGCAGAAACCAGTGTACGCTAAGTAGGGAGGGTTGAAAGACTAAAACATGAAAGGCATGGAATCTCGGTGGGTGCAGCGATCGGACTAAGAAAGCAGGAAAGGAGACATTTCGAGATGGCCCGACGAATGACGTTCTGGGCGGATAGACCTCGTGGAATCCTGCCACCAAGAATATCAGAGGGCAAGGTCAAAATAAGCCTGTCGGCGAGAAATACGGTAGGCAATCCGGTAATGGACTGGGTGGGGGTAGAGTTGGTGGAAGATACGGTGTACCTAGTAGTGAAGCTAGAATGGTGGGCGAGAGGGGAGTCCGGGGGCGTAGACTTGAACCGCCCAGGGCGTGTACACGCGACGGGATCCTTACACATGTCGGAAGAGTGATGGCGGACCTTTGGGATTGCTTTGGCTTCCGGGGATGACCCCGTGCGAATGTTCGAAGGGGCATGGCAAATAACCTGGTGGGAGGGGTTTGAGTTTGCAGACCCGGAACAAGATGACGTAACGGCGGAGGTAAAAGTCGCCGCGGCAGGGGTTTTCAAGCTGCCAAATGAGGTCGTACGAATGAGTCTACCACCCTTCCTGCTAAGACAAGTGGGAGACATAGAACGAGTGGAGCAGGCGGTGACTGCCGTAACTAGGCTAAATTTTGACGAAGCATTAATGTATCGAGAATACTATCGGGCCTTTCTAGAGATGGGGCCTTTCGGGGACGAACAAGGGCGCGAGGTGCTTTGCATTCTACGAGCGGCAATCGATACTAGGCCGGGAGTCCCACAAAGAAATGACGAGGCCTTGTGGAGAGTCATCCGGCGAGAGGTAAGACGGGGCGCGACCTACATCGACGATCTCTACCGACTGTACGAACAGCAAGAGGAGGCTACTGCTCCCTGAGGTATAGAGGGGTAGTTGGGACTAGAAAGGGAAATGAAAACACAAAGGACAAGGGGGCAGTAGGCGGACGGTTTCTAAGGATTGGTTGTAACACTTTCTATGTGGATCATGCAGGAAATCACCAAGGTAACCATGGCAGCAAGACGTGAGCATATGGAACTTAAGACCCGTGTGTGAATGGCGCGCCAACCCTGGTACCCCAGACCACCGTGGAATAACGGTGGACGTTGGGAAGTATCCCTCCCGTCGAGTTCAACTTACGGGGGGTTCGATATAGAATGGCAGGCTGTGACTTTGAGGAGGGACGCCACCTTCATATTGGTAGAATGTCGGTGGACAGGGATGACACTCGACTGAGGACACGGGGATGATCTGTTTTCCAATCTGGAAGTTACCGGGACCATGTATCTGCCTGAGATCGGCTGACACTTGTTGGGGGTAGAGATAGCACAAGGTCACGAGCTGGCGCCGGTTTTTCAAAGGGCCGCCCGGACGTTGACCCGGATAGGACAATCAGTCAGGGGTAGAAGGAACGTGGGCTTACTTACCCGGGTGGAAATGGGGGGATGGCGTGAATTCAGAGCACCAACCACGCCGCTGAGGTGCCGGGTCCCCCGTTTTATGATAGATCTCGTCTTCGGGAGCCTCGCAAGGGCGCGAGAGCTGGCAGACTCGGCAATAACGTGGGCAGACCACTTTCCCTCCCAAACCATCGGGTTGTTCTATGATGTCGCCGTGAGGCATGGGCCGTTCAGGGGAAACAGGGCCCACGAGTTACTGGAGGTCATCCATATCCTGATATTTCATGCGCCCTGGCTAGACCAGACAGGGCACGAACGCATAATCCAAAGGGAAATCGAGATAGGAAAGAGCTATTTGGCAGGGGTGGCTGAGCTATTCGAGGAGCCGACCTAACCGGAAGACCCACGAGGGCGCGAGCGGGACTAGGATCCGCAGGCAGGCCAATAGGGCAGATCCAGTATAGTTCGCTGCTTACGGAAATTCGCCGATGGGAATAAGAAAGGGGCCTCGGACCCGGATGGCTAAAACCCATTAGGAAAACAAAGAAGGGGGTAGACTCCTAATGATCGATCATAACCCTGAAGGTCAAAAATAGGAAACACTGCTTGGAAAGACTTTCCCTAGCAGAATGCCTAACCCGGACTCCCTCGCATCGGCTCGACGGGACAAGGGCACGACAAACAGGCTTGTGATAAAGGAAGCCAAGTCACGCTCATAGCTCGGCTGAGCGGCAGGGCCAGTCGTGGCTCCTCCTTAAGGAAGGGCAATCAGGAAACGAGGATGGGAAAGGAGGCTATACAGATAAGCCAACAGGGTTCGGAGCCTAGGAAACCTAAAATACCTCGCATTGCGTGTGTCCTGGGTCTTTGGCTTATGCAGAACTAGGCGAAATGGCAACGGAGGAGGAGACAGATAATCATAAGAGTGAAGAAGAACCGGGCTTAGGAGGCAGTGCCGCACAAAGCGAAGGGGGGCAGAAGGACAGAGAATCGATAAATCCGGATGGTACCAAAGGGAACCGGAAGGAGATCTCCACAAAGGAAAGCTCTGGGAAAGTTGGGGGAAGCAGGCAAGGGACTCAGGGGACCAAGGAAGGCAGGAATAAGGATAGGACAAACCCCGGGAACTCGGAGGGAGCCGTGTCTAAGAAAGTAAGAGTCACGGATACGAGGCGCAGACTAGCCCAGATAGACAAAAGGACCTCGGAATACAAGGCGAGATTGATTGAGGAAATGATGACTGGGAACGAAGAAGGTTCTCTGCAGGAGGAACCCTGGGACGAACGGAGAACCGGCCGAGGTGGGACTGGACAAGGGGATAAAGGTAGTGACCGTGGGGGAACGCCGAGAAAAAGAAGGAAAGAAGGGGATAACTCTCCGGGGATGGACGCAGAAAAGGCTACGACCCCGCCAGCCATAGATAGTAGGGCTAGCCGCCTGCCGACCGCGCCAGCAGTGACGCGAGGGTGCGAAGGACTCAGGAGCCTTAGGGAAAGAGTGTTGGGATGGTTTGACCCAGAAGGAACTACGAAAACCAGAGAGGGACAGAAGGCCGGCAAGGAAGGTCCGGATAACAGTATGACAGGCGAGGCCAGCAGCTCCGAGGGCGGCCTTAAGAAGATAGTGTCGTCCCTTACGCGAGCACTAAACAAAAATCAAGGCTACCTAGCGGATGCTAAGAAGAAGTTGACGTTTGATGGGGCGAACATCACGCAATTCCTGATAGATTACGAGAACCTGGCTGCGCTGTTGAAATGGACCGAAGAGGAGAAGATGGACCACCAGGGACAGCATGTGTCTTTGAGCCTAGGACGGGACATAATGAACATCGTAGCCGCAAGCCGGTCTTGGAAAGAAACCCGGGATGTGATGATGAAAAAGTATCTGTCAACAGAAAAGATGGCAACGGAGGCCGATTTAGCAGCAGTCCAGAGAAAGAACTTTGCAACGTACAACGACTTTCTACAGGAGTTTACTTTGGTAGCACTAAGAATCCCCGGGGTTACTAATCGAATAATGAGTAACTATTTCCTCAGACAATTCTCTGAGTTCGACAAAGACAAGATCCTTTCGGCTTACCAACAGACGAGCAAATTTGTAAACACCAGGGACGTTGATTTCAGTACGGTAACGGATCTGGCCGAAAAGACGGTAGTGACCGAGACATTGGCCTTGCTTAAGGAAGGGAAGACTATAGACTTGACCAGTAGGACGGGCGACAAGGTGAAAAAGGGGATTGAAAACCTACACGAACGTGTGCACGGAGTCGACAACAAGATTGAAAGGATGGAGAGCGCGCTACTAGTTTTGTCGACGCAAGTATCCCGTCCCCCCCTCCCGCCCCAGGAAGCAGTAGTTTCGCCAGGGGTGGCCAATCATGGATTCGGACGGAGAGATCCCACTAACGAGCAATGCAAGTATTGTACCGCGATAGGACATTATGTGCGTGCGTGCCCAAAGCTCAACCATGATATTCTGAAAAGAAGGTGTACCAGGTCATTAAAGGGGGAGATATTTGGACCACGAGGGGAACGAGTGAACTGGAACTCGCCAGGAGGGATGCGGCGAGCCATTATCATGCTCAACAGGCTAGAAATAAAAGTCGTAGAAGCCGAACCGGTGGGCGAGATCATCTGGGATCAACGCAAGGAGCGAGGACCGCAGGCCAACTTTATTTTGAAAAACGACGGACGTGATAGGGTGAACGCGACTACTCGGCTAGGGACGGCTGGGAGAAGGATTAACCGCGACACCTAATGGAGGAGGTTGCTGGAAGTTCGAAACCCCAGGCAGAGCCTGAGGTCGAGGAACCGGAAATGGTATATGGGAAACCTAGGGAAGAGCAGCCTGCCGACAAAGTTTCCGCTGCCAAGAAGAAGTTTAGGTACCAAATCCCGATCTTATCCTTACCTGAGATCGACGACACCATTAGCAAGTTACTAGGGACCATGGTGTCGGTGTCTTTTCAGACTATGCTGCAGGCTAGCCCTAGGTTGCTCAAAGGGCTTAGACAACTGTTGACCCGGCGGCGAGTAGAAATAGGCGATAACCCCGAACTACCTGAAGAGGGAGAAGGAAGTTCCCCAAGAAGTGGCTAACCTGCAGAGGAGTCGCGGGGACTTGGAGGATCTCGAGAAGGCCTTTGCAGACATTCGTTTGAGCTTGCCCGATCGAGAGGGCGGCGAAGTCATGAGATCGCCACCCGGGACGAAGCTTAGCTTTCTTGCGCTACCCGTAGGGAAATTGAAACTCCAGATCGGGAGTCATCACACCGACGCATTAGTAAACGGGGGGGCAGAAATCACCCTTATAAGAAGAGATTTCACAACGATCACGGGATGTACGGTAAACAAGGAAGTAACAAGGAGCATCCGGGGAGCTGGCGGGGAAATCCCGTTCGCTGGGTACGTCACGAAGTGTGCTGTAAAGGCAGGGGTCAGGGAATCAATCTGGTCATTTCAGCGGATGACCGTAATGGAGGAAATGGATCACGACATAATCATCGGGAGAACGTGGTGCGCGAACGTAGAGATGATAGGCATGCACTTGCACGATGGCTCATACATGGTAGACATAGAGGACCCGGTGACCGGCTGGGGAGAGCTCCTCCGACTCCTTGGAACGGGAGGAGACCCCCCGAGAGGGAAATTTGCAACATGGTCGCCGTCATTCGAGGATAGCACGCGAAAAGGGGCTTTCGCACGGATGGAGGGTATGAGAGAAAGTGTAAAAATCATGATTGAGGAAGCGTTCAACAAGAAGGAGTGGATCAAGATGGGCCTGCCCCAGAAGAAGAGGAGGCAGGAGGACGAAGTTCTAGGTGTTATGGTAGCAGAAAATGAGTCAGAGATCGAACTTGGTGCTAGCCTGCGCAAACGGAAAGAAATGCGTGTAGACATGACGAAAATCGCACTCGAGATCCCCGATCTATTGCAACTCATCAAGGCCCTCAGATACCATAAGGTGGGAGTGGATTCGGCAGCCTTGGCCAAGTTCGAAAGAGAGGTGCAAAAGGGATATTGCCTGAATGGGAAATTAGTTAGCATTCAACCACGAGTCATAGAGGCGACCGGGGCAATTCCGGCTGTTCATTTTTTAGAAGAAAGATCCCGGAAGGAAGTGTTCGAAAGTACAAGCCGGTAGCGAAGAAAGCAAAACCGGTCTCAGTCCTGCTAGAGACATCAAAGGAAGAGGCTATGGAGAAGGAGGAAGAGGTCTTTCGAGTGATCCGAGAAAGAAGGGCGACGGAGGGACATCGGATACCAGATGAGGTAGCGGAGACAATGAAGATAGGGATAGACGGGTTCTTAATGGAAGAAGAAAACTGCCTGATCAAAAGGACCTGCCAAGAATTTCATCTGGCGTTTGCCTTTAATGATCATCAGAAGGGACGACTGGATGCGAAGTTGATCCCTCCGATCAGGATCCACACGGTAGAACATGAGTGATGGAATGACAAGGGACCATCCTATGAATTTGGGATAGCGGGAGAGGTAACAGACGTCCTCCGAGCTAAGATGGATTACTTCGTTGTGGAGCCTACGACATCGCCATACGCAAATCGGTGGTTCGTCTTTCGGAAGCCTAACAAGACACTAAGGTGGATTTAGGACCTGCAGAAGTTGAATGCGGTAACCATCCGGGATGCCGGCTCGCTACCTCAGGCTGACTTATTAGTAGAATCGCACGCCGGTTGGAGCATTTACTCCCTGATAGATTTGTACTCAGGGTACTACCAGCTTCCATTGGATGTTCAGGACAGGCCATACACCGCTATGCACACCCCCGTAAGCCAGCTACAGATGCAGGTGACACCTATGGGATTCACAAACGCGGTGGCCGAAGCGCAACGCAGGATGCTCGCCGTGGCTGGGGACATGTTCCCAGAAAAATGTGAACCTTACATCGATGACAGTTCGATCAAAGGCGCGCAGGAAAAGGACAAGACGGAAGTCCAGCCAGGGATCCGACGTTTTGTGTGGGACCACCTGCAGGACATCAAGGACTTACTCTATCGGTTCCTAGTATACAACATTACGGCTAGTGGACCAAAGAGTATCCTAGCAATACCGGAGGTAACTATACTAGGATTTCGTTGCGGTGCTTACGGCAGGAACCCGGATCCGACAAAGACCGACAAGATATCACAGTGGCCGATGCAACTGCGCACGACGACGGAGGTAAGGGCATTCCTAGGCGTAGTCGGCTTTTGGAAGATCTTCATTAAGAACTTTGTCAAGATTGTTGAGCCTATCCGGGCTATGATAAGGGAAGAAGGAACCATTGATTGAACGGAGGAGCGAGAAGGGGCTGTCCAAAGGCTCAAGGACATACTGACATCTTAGACAGTCGCCCTGTCCGCGCCTTGTTTTAATGACGAAGTGGGACGACCCTTTATCCTAGAGACGGGTGGAGGACCTTTGGCCGTAGGAGGTGTGTTGATTCAAAGGGATGAGGGAGGAAAAAAGAGGCCGATTAGGTTCGAAAGTAGAACCCTGAACTCCGCAGAACGGCGGTACTCGCAATTCAAGAAGGAAATCCTAGCCATCCTGCATTGCCTTAAGACCTTCCAGGCCTACCTATTTGGGAGGCGGTTCATTTTAAGGATCGATCCGACGAATGTCGCAGGGGCCCTAAAGAATTACAGGCCTATAGATCCGATGGTAGGGAGATGGGTAGGATTCATCTGGCAGTTCGATTATAAGATCGAACGGATTGCTGGAATCCGCAACAAGGCAGATGGGTCGAGTCGGGTTTGCATCACTCCCGAAAGGATGGAGGATGGAGAGCCCATAGACGCCTTCCTCGAATACGAAGGAGGAACTTTTGCGGTGGATAACGAAATGATGAGCGGAGAATGCGCATCAGGAGAAATATTGATCCAGACTTTGGAGAAAGGGGCACTTGCCGTAGTAGCAGAACTTAGAGAAGGACCAGTTACCACACGAGGACGCAGAGAAGAAAAAGACTCATGGGGAGCGATAGTAGGACCGAAAGAGGAACTGATAGCAATGGCGGTCGAAGGAGGCCGGGAAGCAGTGATGAGCTTAGTGGAATCTTGGGAAAGGAAAAAGTTGCAATGGGTAGTAAGTCGGATGCAGGAAGGAAAGGATAGGGACAAGGAAGGAGAGGAGTTTTTCTATGTCCAATCATACGAAGGGCTCTTTCGGGAGATCGGGTTGTTGTTGGTAGGAAACAAACAACCTACGGAAGTCAATATTAAGGCAAGAGAAGAAGCCGAAAGGTACGTCCTAAGGGGCGGGCATTTGTTCCGGAGGGAGGAAGGTGCTATGCCTAGAAGGGTTGTGTGCGGAAGATCTAGGCAAGTAGACGTTATCCAGGCAATGCACGACGGGTTAGCTGGAGGTCATCGGTCGTCCAAAGGAACACTTGCAAAGATAACGCTGCTCTATTATTGGCCAGGCATGGTCGCCATATACTGCCAGACTTGCCTTATTTGCCAAGAACGAAGCTCGGTACGAGTCTTCGAGCCGCTTAGACCAACGCGGGTGCTAGGGCCGGGACATCTGGTCCACCTCGACCTTGCGGTCATGCCTGTATCAACGGATGGACACAGGTATATCCTAGATGCGCAAGACAACTTGAGTGGGTTCGTGGAGGCAGTCGCCCTCAAGAAAAAGACAGGAGGGAGTGTGGCGGACTGGATAGAAGACTTCTACTTAAGGCACTCGTTCGTCAGGAGGTTTATAGCAGACAATGGGACGAAATTTGTGAACCAGGAAGTATTGAGGATGCTTAAGAGACTCTGCGTACCGATCAGACTCATCGAGCCGTATGACCATGAGGTCAATGCACCGGTGGAAAGGGGGCACCGAACTTTGAAGAACACGATTGCAAAGCTCGCAGCAGACCATCTGGGGAACTGGCCTAAGTATCTTAAGCAGGCAGTCTTTGCAGAGAATATGACTCCTAAAAGGTCAACAGGACGTATCCCGGCAGAGCTTTGGTACGAAAGAGAGATCGACTTTCCTGTGGAAGCCTTGGTACCTACCGGGAATAGGTTAGATGATGATCCGCAAATGACCACTGAAGAGTTAATCGAGGCAAGATGTCAACAGATCCTTAAGAATGAGGAGGTCATGGAAGACATCGCCAGCCGAGTGTTGGACAGCAGAATGAGGGACAAAGCAAGATGGGACCAGGTTAAGAATGTGAGAAAGGAGCCACTTCAGGTAGGGGAGATGGTACTGCTACGGAACTCGGCACTAGAAAGTACATGGTCGGGACAGTTGGGAAGGAGGTTCAAAGGCCCCTACCGGGTCGACAAGCGGGTGGGACTGAACACCTTCGAACTGGAAGACTTGGATGAAACTGGATTGAAAGGGCCCTTCCCAGGGCAACGACTGGTCAAATTTCTAAGTCTGGACCCAATGGAACAATGGCTTCAGGAAGCCGAAGATAAGGAAACAGAGGAGCCACAAGCTAAAGACTAACCACAGCCTTGCCCACACTATGGTTTGTCTCTGACCATGTTCATGAGACTGTCATGTTTTTGGGACTGGTGCTTTGGCTTGGACTGACTGAGGTTGAAAGGAAGCATGACTTGGGGGTTTGCAATATCGGGCTTGTGTGACAACGGGAAGGGATGTTTGGGTCATTGTACCATAGTTTTTTACGGGAAAAATATGGGGTCATCACAAACGATGCATTCGCATGTATAAAAAGGGCGTGATGCGAGGGATACTGGGTGCATTTTGGGAATATCTACCGGCCTAAGGGGGGGGGAGGCGTAAGTGTATCAGGGACATTGCGGGTGTTGTTTTGTTATACAGGGCTTAGGAGTAAAACGAGAAAAGACAAAAATGAAATTCAGCAACGAGAACGACAACGGGGCAATCAACAGGCCTACCGGAGGGGAAGAAGCTGGACCAAGCCAAGGGAGGAGGACAGCGAAGAGAAAATTGTACATTGGGCTCATGGGCGGGCCAGTGGTAGGCAGGGGTGGAAGGAAATGTTTGTGTAGGAAACCCTCACCCCTCTGCAAGGGAGAAGGTATAGAAATATCGTCTGACAGTGAGGGCGAAAGGGGACGGGCAAATGTGGAAGAAGGAGGCAACACAGAAATGAGAGATAAGGCTCGGGTCTCTAACGAGGAAGGGGCCAACAGGGGCGAACGACGTGAGACTTGGCATGGGGAAAGCGAGGGGGGACAAGGTATGTGCGACGAACGTGAGGAGGACGAGGAGAAAAGGGAGAGCCCGCTTGAAGGACGAAGCGGTCACGGCAGTTGCGAGGGGTATGGGACGGGGACAGAGATCCCTTTAACCTACGATCCAAAGAACCTTGTTGGTGGGTATAGCCCCATACAGACTGAAGACGAGGGGGACGAGGAGGAGGATGTGCGAGAAGTCATAGAAATCAGCAGCGGGGATGAGAGGGATGAGATCTCAAGGCCTAGGGAAGAGGAGCGGCCTCCGATGCACCAACCAGGCGATGGGGCTTTCAGATGAGAGGACGAGTTCGGGCCAACGCCCAGTCATTGGTTTCAGCAATGGACCAATGTAATCAAGCACGAATGGATTATGAAGACTCGGGAACTCGCAAGGACAGGGGTGGAAGCCACACCACTGAATTTTTTCAACGAGGCTGAGTTGCATAAAATTGTAAGGATGAAAAGAGAGATCGAGACCTACGGCCTGGGGGTTAGGAAGCCTGCCGAGGAACGGAGTGGACAAGGAACTAGGCGAGACGAGGCGCAAGGCAGTAATAGGAACTAGGTGTTGACTTAGCATTGAAAAGGATTGCTGCTTTCTGTCTGTAGAGATATGAGAATGACGAGAACGTGTATAATATGGGCAAGCTTGCTAAGGAGGAGGTGAAAAGAGGGTCAGCTAAGATTGTGTCACGCTAAAGTAGAAGATAATTGTTGAGGCTACCTTTGGATGAGCTACTTTGGGTACCTAAGACAAAGACATAGGATTTGGGATGAGATTAATTGGGAGAGCGCGTATTGTGAATTTTGGATGGAACAAGGATTATGTTTTTGAGAGGGGAAAACCTTGAGTACGGATTGACGAGCAAACCATGGCATTGCATGATTGGTCGAGTACAAGAGAGGCTAGGGAACCTATGGGTTAAGGGGCGTGAAGAACAATCCTTCCCTAGGAGCCTAATCCAACTGAGTCATGAATGGGACTGAGAATAGCCGAAACCTAAGAGATCAGGAAGA